AACGCGCGCGTCATGTATATATGTAGAAGTGGAAAGTGAAGATGAATGAAACTAGTACTTCAATCTCGTTTTCCTATATATCATAGATTCATAAGCCATCATTACGCATAGATGCCATACTGTCATCGCACACTCATACGCGTTCACTTCACTGACTCAAATTTATTAATTTGAGTTAAGAAAGTGGATTTAAATTATAAAAAATTTGAATTTAGTTTGGACTTTGAGTTAAGTGTTTAAGAGGAGATTAATTTAACATTTAAAATTTAAGTTTTGTGTTCACTTGTACTAAAATCAAACTCTAATTACAAATAAGTGTTCTTTTCTGCAGAGGCAATCCACACTGTATAACTAAACTTGAGTAATGGGTAAACAAGAGATAGTTAAACTCACTAACTCGAGCTATTACTCGAGTTTCAAATTCGAGTTGCGTTTAGTGAACGCATAACTCGGCCAAATTTCACACTCGAACTGAGCTTACTCGAATATAATCTACGAAGTGAACGACCCAATTTTAGCTTCAAACTCAAGTTCAAACTTAAATTTTACATGTGGCTCCGTTCATTTCGTTGATTCGAGTTTAGAATTCGAGTTTTTTATAGTAAAAAGCTCTCACAAACAATCACATCTAACTTTTTTGCTACAGTAAAAAGCTCTCACATAAAGTCACATCTTAACTTGAATTAAAAATTCGAATCAGCGAACTAAACGGGCAATCTTATAGTAACATAGAAAACGAGACAAACTTCTTTTTCTACCGTGCTTATTTAAAAGGGTTAAAGAGTTGACTTATAAGTTATAAAGATGTCATGTGTTGACCTTTATAGAGGGTACATATTGGCTTCTATTTTTTTTTTTATTCTCTCTATTTTTCTTTCTCTTTTTAATTTTTAGACTTTTTTTATATTTTTCTTCTCTCTATTTTTTCCCTACTTATTGCCTTTTTTCCCTATTTCCTACCTATTATTGCCTTTAGTAGTATTTTTTTTTTATTTCATTCACAAGGTGTGAATGAGTTCTTGAATAGGAACGGACGAAATATGGAATGAAATATATAAAATGTTTCATTTGTCTCTTTATAAAAAAGATCTTATGTTTATGACCATGACTTATTGAAATACTTTTGTCTAATTTGAAATGTGCATTATGATCATTTTGCTTTTTTATTCATTTTAGATATTGTGTTTTTCTAATTGTACCTTATTAAACTTTATCCCCTAATATGCTCTCTTTTAAATAATTTCAAATATATCCTTGCTTCTTAATATTTCTTTTTTTAAAATGTATGTATCTAAAAAATATAATACACTCAATGCTCACGTGTGTAATACGTGTTTTAACTAGTAACATAAAAAAAGAGACAAACTTCTTTTTTTTATGGTGCTTCTATGAGCACATCTTTAAGACATTACTAATAGATTATTGCGTTCACTTCACTAACTCAAATTTATTGATTTGAGTTAAGAAAGTGGATTTGAGTTGTAAAAAATTTGAGTTTAGTTTGAACTTTGAGTTAAGTGTTTAGCAGGAGATTATTTTGACATTTAAAACTTGAGTTTTGTGTTCACTTGTACTAAAGCGAAACTCTAATTACAAAGAAGTGTCATCTTTTACAGAGGCAATCCGCACTGTAGAACCAAACTTGAGTAATGGGAAAACAAGGGATGGGTGAAACTCCCATCTTCGAGTTATTACTCGAGTTTAAAATTCGAATTGTGTTTATTAAACATATAACTCGATCTAATTTCACACTCAAATTAAGCTTACTCAAATATAATCTACAAAATTAGCGGCCCTTAATAATTTGAGATAACATTTTTACAGCAGCAGCAACAACAATAATAATAATATTAAACATATAAAAAATAAGAACACATATATAATAAGAAAACAAAATTTTCAGAGTGAGTGAATGTGCCTCACGTCTTTCAAGCCAGACTTTAACATACATAAAAGATTTAAAAATTTTTTTTACCTCTTTTTAACAGGTGTCATCCCAAGAAGGTTTCTCCTTCTTTGCATCACCTTTTTGTTTTGTTTTCTTGTTTTATTTTAACATTTCTTGATTTCTTTTTCTCTTTTCGTTCTTCTATTTGTTTTTTTTTTTCAAAGTTCATATATAGTTTAATTTTGTTTACAATGTATTTCTTTAAAATATATTTAATCACTTTACACTTATTAAAATAATTTATTATATTTTTATTATTGTCATATTTATATGGGTTTTTTTTCGGTGGTACTCTAAACTATTATTAGTCTCATAAATAAAACACCTTAATTTATATCCATTTAAATAGCTTCTTTGACATATGAACCTGCTTATTCTTTTTCCAAATATGGTCCTCATAAAATATATATTTTTTAATTATTTTATTAATATCATATCATATTTTCTTAAATGTATCTCTATCTATGTATTTTTTCCTTTTAACTCTCTTAAATACTATTTTTCATACGTACCCCCATAAATAATTTACTCTATAATTTGTTTCACGAAAACTCTGTTTTCCTTTTAACTGTGTCTACTTAAATTTTTATTTTTTATTGTTTACTAGACTAAACTTTTAAAGGAATAGTAAGTCAATAAAAATTTTGAAGAAATTTAAATCTTTATATGCAAAAAAATATAACACGTTAAATACACGCTTGTAGCACGTTGTTCCGACTTGTATATAAAGAAGTGTGCATGACCTCTCTTTGAATTTTGTTATTCAATTGCATGTCTTCTTGGTTTCTTTTTTTCTTTTTGTTTTTTTCATTAGAAATCTTGCATTTCTATTTAAATGTTGCTCATCAAATTCATTTCTATAAAATTTTTTCCATTAAGACATTTTCCTATATCTCTACTGTAGACATTTTCGTGCAGTAGTCTAAAATATTATTTTTTTCAAGTATGACCCTTACAATTAAAATTATATTTGCCATTTAAGTGTTCTACAACTTGGTTGACGGGGTTGACCCCCTTTGAGCCCACTTCTTTTTTTTTATTTTATTTAGGAGCTTATAGTAAAGGGATGGCAATAGATGGATTTAAGGCATGGTGGTCTTCTCGTTAACACATAAATAAAAACACTCACTATATCTGTTCTATGAACCCGCATAAGTTAATGGATTACGGGATAAATTTTCCCGTCACGAGTTCAGAATATTCTTGGAGCCCCATTTACTCGATTAGTTACTTTAATTATGAAATAAATAAATAAATAATAAAAAAAAATACAAACATACAAAACATTACCTTAAAAATTTTAAAAAAAGTAGCTTTAAATTTTCATGTATATTATGTAATAGATTTTACTTAAAACTATAAATTGTAGAGTATTATACATAATGGGTTTTAATAGTTACTCAAATATTTATCAATCAATGGATATCGTTGTTTTAGCCGTAAGATATCAATCTTACAGTTATAATAAATTAAATAGTTAACCAAAAAACTTATAACAATTAATAGGACTAGATTCTTAATACGCCACATCATCATATTTTTATATTTAGTGGTAACTACCGATAGAAACGTAACTATTAAAAAACTCGTCCTATACATAATATATGTATTTTAAATATATGATATAATTAAACCGGGCTGGTATACGGGAATAGAGTTGGAGACCTCTAAACCCGTCACCACACTACTACCCTCAACATGTTAAAATTTTAACCCGTTTTACAATCTGAATCCATTTAAAACATATTTTACCCCTTTAATGTGAATCTCTGCGAATAAATAGGTTAACGAGTAAAATCGCTAGCCAAATTGATTGAATCCTGACCTACACTTAAAAAACATTTTAAAAATATCCTCTTCTGAATCTTTATACTCTTCTTTAGCATTGTGCTTCCATGTAATATGTATTTGTGTGGGTGTTTTTTTTTTTTTTTTTTTTTTTTTTTTTTTTTAATTTTCTGAATATCTGTCTACTTAAACATTTTCCCCGTGTAGTCCTCTAGAATAATATAATCTAAAATATAACTAATAAATACCTTTTCCCCTAACTAATATATTGCCATTTTTTTCTTCAACGTGACTAAATTTTTTTCTAAATTTTATATTTATTATTTAAGTATTTCATTCAACATCTCTAACCATATTAGCCATTTTATCTTTTTAATCAAAATGGCTAATAATTTTAGCTTTTTTTTTTTAGTTTTTCTCCACCCCAAACATTAACTAAATTGTTAACTATTTTGAAAATGCATTTCACACTAGTTATTTAGCTAGCAAGAAGTGGTTAGCCATTTATTTTTTCTATTATTATATTCTTTCAAACCATAATAAATGCAAAGGTTCCTTTTTAAATTCAATAAAAGTAACTATATTTTAATTCAATAAATATTAAAATAATCTATGTTTGGCTAAAATAGGAAGTATGGTTGTAGTAGATCATCCAAAGTTATTAGCTAAAACAGCTTTTTAGTCATTCTAGCTAAAAATTTAAATAAATTTAGAGAGTTCTCTTGAAGATGCTCTAAGTTTTGATGTCTTGCACTGAGTCTTTGATTATTTATGTCTTGATCAGCAGAGGTTAAAATGCCTTACACCTATTAACTTTCAAATTGAAAGCCTTATAATTTTTTATAAAATTTTTGAAAAAAATGTACAATTGTTTTTCTACTAATGTGGGGACTTGCCTAACACATACTAGTAATTGAAGAGAAGACGTGAAGTTCTAGCAAAAAAAAAAAAAACAAGAAGAAGAGAAACGCTGTAAATTTCGTTTTAGTTTTATAGCATAATAGCATATTTAATTTTGTTGAGCGGAATAAATTTGAAAAATCAAGTGAATGGAGGTTACATTTTTCAAGTTTCAAGACATACAATTTATTTACCGAGCTTTAAATGTAGTTTACAAAAAGTGATGTCTAACGTTTAACACATTAGTGCATTGTGAATATTTATTATGAATATTCAAATTTTAAAATTTAAAACTCCTTTAGATGTAGTAGAATATGAAAGCATTAGGAAATTCTAACAAGACATTGCAGATGAGAAAAAAAACATGGCATTCGAGGGTAAAAGAAACCTATCTAGGCGCAAAAAAGGCAACACAACGAGAGGGCTAAAACGTGTTAATAATGACATTATCATCCCCACAGTTGAGAGAAAAAGTGATCATGAAGAGGACTCAAATTGGTCAAATTCTGTAGATGAAGAGGACTATATCATCTTCTGCTTTAGAGAGGATGGTGCTTTTGAAGTTTTGAAGAATGACAAGCCTGATGAAGCAACGTCTAATCATGCCGATAGCAAATCAAGAATTAATTCGAGACCCGTTAATCGGAAGGTTAGCATTTTTTTATTCCCCCTATCCGCACAGTAATAAAATAATAGTAAGATAACATGCAACTTTGAAAGTTACAATATTGTTGTTACGTTAACATTCACAATAGGGTTTTCCTTTTCTTTTCTTTTTTTTTTTTTTTTTTTTTTTAATAAAACCCCACAATAGGGTTTTAATGTTAACAACGTTGGTTATTCTCGCATTTTGTAGAGTATTCGAATGACAATAACTTCTTTTTTTTTTTTTTTTGGTCTTTTCATTTGATCTTGTAAGAACAGCTTAATTATGAAGGGAAGGCCAATGAGGAGAGGTTTACCGGGAAAGCACATGAGACCTACCTCACAAATTATGACGGTTGTACTCACCAAAAGGTAATAGTAACCTTTATATCTTTCTTCTATGGTCAAGTTTTTATCCTTGACTGAAAATATGTGTGCTTTTTAACTGTTGGTTTCTACAATCTTTAGTTATAGATAACATGCAAAAAACATAATCAACATAGTTAAGGAAGATTCCATTTAGCCGTTATTTTTCTTTTGTTTGAACATATTTTTTCATCCCAAACTTTTTCTTTCTTTCTTGACGCAACTTTTTTGAAGGAGGCGGAAGAAGAGAACATTCATTTGGAAGCAGATTCGTTTTGTGGGGACAATTTTGAAGGGCAATCATCAGATGCCAGCGCGGGCTCTTTTGCCTTTCCTGCGTAAGTTAATTTGCCCTGTTCAATGTAAATGTTAAATCACGAGATTTTAACAAAATTCTATTCTATTTGGATTCTGTTTCTTTACATTATATTTTTGTAATTTATTATATTGAAAAAAAAAAGTGACAAAAAAAAAAAAAAAAAAAAACTAGCTCAAACTTGTGTGTAGATGTATGTGTGCGTGCACTGCGTACGCCGTACGCGCTTGCGTAGATAGTTGTTAAAGAGCTTTGGTGAAATCATGCAGGTTAAGGTGGGAATGGATTGGCAGCCCTGAGAGAATGCCGAATTCAGATGGCTTTCACTCGCGAAAACACAAAGCTCGCTGCATAGGCTTTCAGTGTTGTAGATTCTGAAAGCTTTCTCACTCAATTTCCCCCCATGACCGTGGATTGAGAATTATTAACAAATACCCTTTTGTTTCTTTTTACCATTCTTTGAATCGATAAGAGTATCAGCAATGCATGGTTCCTGTTCCGCAATACTAATTTTACCCCTGTAGACTGTAGTGTTTTTATGGTAAATTAATAGCGCCATATTCAAGCCAAAATAAATATTTCAATTGACTACAACTTTTAACTCCAATTTCATGGCCACATTTCCTGTATCTTCCAATTGCTAAAGCATTCTACTTCTATGAATCTTCTCACAAAAAAAAAAGCCATGAAATTCGCAATGTACAACAACTTTCTCCATCTCTTCAAGCCCTTGTTTACAGAAGAAATAACAGAAAAAGGGTATTCACTTCAGCAAAAAAAAGGACAAAAGAAAGTAATCGAAACCAAACTAATATAAAATGACCCCAGCTAACCAATATACCTATGGACTAAAATGCAAAATATGCTTTCGTATGAATAAGCCTCCCTTTGTCTCTCTGAATTTGACCCCTTGGAACTGCTAAAGCATAGTTTAGGTCTCATCTCAAAGCACTTGGGGAAGTTGCAGTTCGTGTCGCTTCTCTAATGACTTCTAACTTCTTCTGTCCTATGAAAACTGAAGTTGATTTTACAGCTAAACCAACAAACAACAAAAGTAAAAACAAAACCTTTGCATTGTGTATTAGTATTACTAGAGTATTAAGCCCTACAACAATGAAAACACAACAGACAACGCAGACGGTTTCATCTTGACAAGTTCTACTCTTAACAATAACACTTCACAGAGACTGGCAGAGTGGGAAATGACCCAAAAACAAATTATACCAAAACCAACAGTAACTATCCCAATGCTAACCCTCCGCACCGAGAGACTACATGCAACTGCATTAGGAGGTTCTCACAAAGTCCCAGTTGAGCTTTTTCTGAAAACAAATGATTGAAGATGTAACCTGGCACTGGCAGCTGCAGCAATGGATTCTTCGTCCTTCTTTTCTTTTGCGGCAGCAACAGCAGCGACATAAGCTTCTCGAGCTTCCTCCATTCTCTGCATTGCTATCTCATCCAAATCATCCTGTTTATTCAAACAAAAGAGACTTAGTTACAAATACGACAACCAACAAGGTGACAAATCTATACATGAGAAAATTTAGACAATCTTGATGGCTAATAACTTTGTAGTTCTAATTTTCCAAATGCTTATTCTAACAGTAACGAATTTATCACTTAATTGTCTCTGCTTAAAATTTAAACACAAAAAAGGCTAAAGTTAAAAATGAGAGAGAAACTAAAAAGGTGAGGTATGAGGTACGGTCTTATGAACGTACAATACAAGGAAGATTATCCACGTTACAGGGAGAAATGTCATAATCTTCAGCATAATGAGCACAATCATTTTTCAGCAACCCGTCAAACAGAAACATAAATGACGAAATCTCTCCTTGAACTGAGATTAGCTCTTCTTGTAGCTTCTCCACTTTCGTATGGGATGTCATCGCTTGCCACTGTATCTTTTCCAGTGCAGCTTGCTTGTCTGCAAGCTTAATCTGTGAAAGTAGACAGCTATATCGTAAATAGAAATGACCACACTAACACAGAGAGTAACAAAGATAGAAATAGCATAAAATATATACAAATGATATGGTTCGATTTGAAGAAAGTAGCTATTCTTAACATGACTCTAGGTCCTAAAATTTTAAAGCTTTGCACATAATCTTGTAAAAGTTAAAAGTTCGGGTAGTTGGTAAAATTTGAATGCATTTTAAGGTCCAAGAGTAACAGATTTATGATTTGTATAGATTTTCAAAGTTGCACGGAGTTTCAGATTCAATAAGTTCGTTTCCATATTAGCACTGATGCTAACCAAAACAAAGATCAATGTCATAACAATATCACAACCCCAATTTCCATAAACCTGCCAAAAGAAAAACTGAATGTTCTCTACCTGCCAGCAACATATCTCTAAGATCAACATTGAGTACTATTTAAGGTGTTAAAATTCAACTGTAACATATAACATTAACGATTCGACAGTTTTGTTAACGCGCTTCTTCAGAAAAATCCTAAGTTGTAAAACATAAGAGCCAAAAGTTTTCTTGCATGAAAGGAAAAGAGATGGGAAATTACTAGTATTATAGAAAAATTTAGGTAATAAACAATTAAACACCTTTGCATCAGCAAGTTGTCGCTGTGTGGACTTGATTAGAGATTCTTTTTCTGAACTTTGGATCTTTAGTTCATCAAGCTCTGCATGAATAGCAGTCATTTCGTTCTTCAAAACCTCTGCGGATTTTAAAGATTCATCTTTCTCCAACAACTTCCTTTGCAGATCCTCCAGCTGCCCCTTTAACAGATCCAGCTCTTCTCTATCATCCGCCATTGAAGCCCTTGCAGAAAAAAGGGAAATGCTTTCAGCATCGGGATTGTTGCTTCCATTCTTTCCTTCTCTCTCTCCAGGCTCCCTCTTCTTTCTTGCAGGGATAGATTGAGCGGTATTCCTCCCTTTTATTCCAGATGCCTTCAACATGAAGAAAGAAATATCAGTGCTCATTTAAAGATTATTGCAGAGGAAATACCATATTTGCAAAAAATATCTTGTAGAAAACAGAACATCTACAGACAACAAATTCAGAATGACACCATTAGCACGACAAAGGAAAAATTAATTAATTAATTAATTAAATAAATCAATTGAAAAGAGTCAAAATTAAAACAAATTGAAGAATCCCTCAGAAAGGTTGTACTTTGTAGCTGAAAAATGAACTTTTTCACTGTCTAAACCTATATCTTTGATACTAGTGTAGTGTTATACAACCTGAACCTATCAAATAAAAGTGGAAGGATCATTTTACATAATACATTACAAAATGTCAGCGTCTTTTAAGTATGGAACCATCAGAGATGAATCAACTACTTCAGTTACAGAGTTCCACTTTTTTCTCGTAATGATTTCACCAATTATAATATGATGCATTATTACCAATAACTAATGCATCTTTAATTTATGGATTCCATAGGAACGCCTAATAAAACGCAGCCAAATTCCCCATACAAAAGCAAAAGACGTTTTACCCTAATATTTATGAGTCCAGATTTGCTGACTCTATTTTCTTGTCTTGGAGGTTGTCCTTACACTACCAATATGCCATGTCATCTAAATTTAAGAATCTAACCACATGAATAGAAAAAAATATTAAAAAAACTAAGGGCCCGTTTAGTTCGTTGATTCGAGTTAAGATGTGACTTTATGTGAAAGCTTTTTACTGTAGTAAAAAAGTTAGATGTGACTGTTTCTGAGAGCCTTTTACTGTAGCAAAACTCAAATTGATGAAATGAACGGGGCCTAAAGCAATTCAAGATGTGTCAAAATTTAATCCAAGGGACAGCTACCGAAATAGGAAAATGTGACAGCAGATCTTTATTCAATATTTATTGCATTAGGAAAATATGAAACGTTACTCAATTCAAATTCATCACCAAATCCCGAAAACACATAACTATAGCTCATAATTGCCACTTGATTGTTCCACATTACTACTAACAAAGAGAAGTTAATAGCAATCAATTCTTGAATTCCAAACGCTTAATTGAAAGCAATCTCGAAAATGACACTTTTTTATCAAATCAAAACAACCCCATCATTTCTACAACACCCAACAAATGAATCTAAAAAATTCTCAAAACCATAAGCTATAATAGTGGGGGGGGGGGGGGAACAAGATTCTCAAGTTAAAATTCTTACCCTTCTGTATTGAGATTCCCTTGAAGGCGTCTTAGTGTAGATCACCGAACCACGACGCGTAAACGAACTGCTTGCTTTGCGATCCTAGAAAGATTGCTATGAAATTGTGTAAATTTCCCAATTGTTTTCAAAATTTTCCAAATGTTAAACACTTCCTTTAGTTACTAACAAACAAAGAAGACAAAGTCAATTTTCATGCAAAAAATCTTCAACTTTCTCTCAACCCAGGTCAACCTAAACCGCAAATTAAAACCTAAATTCCCCTCCTTTCCACATTTTCCCCCAATTTCTCAGACGCCAAACACTAAAGATCCCTAAAAAGTTGAAAACAATCTCCCAAAGAGAGAGAGAGAGAGCTTACAATGAGGGACTGAACGAGAGGAACGATCTCGACGAGGTCTTTGAAGAGGTCGCGATCGACATTTCTGGCGGCGGTGCCGGAAATTGACGGCTGATTCCGGCGGTGAGTCGGAGACAAGCCCGGATCCCCTGAAAGCCACGAATTTGGGTCCCCAAAACCGCTCGCGTTCTCTTGCAAGTTCATGAAATGCTGTGACTCGTACATCTTCTTCTTCAATTGTTCAGATTTCTGAGTCGATTTCGTCAGAAGAAAGGAAGAAAAATCATGGGATTTTGTCGAAGAAGAAGGAGACGTGAAAGTGTGACAGCGAAGAAGACGAGAATAATCCCTTGTGTTTGAATTTTTTTCTTTTCTTTTTTTTTTTCTCAGACAGGACATTGATTTTGATTTTTCAACGTATTTTCAAACAATAATAAGATTACGAAAATGCCCATAAACCTCTTAGGACTAATTACAAAATTCCTTCTCAATTATGAGAAAATTCAAAAAGTACGTATTCTTTTTTTTTTTAGTGTAAAAAAAAAAAGTCTAAAACTCTTCTATATTTTTTTTAAAGATATAAATAACGTTCCACGTTCTAAATAACTACGATTTAGATCTCATGATTTATTTTAAAAAATAATGAGTTTTGTCTTTTATATGTGAATTTTATATTTTAAACAGTTAATTTAAAAGCGCTCCTTAACTCTTAAACTTTAATTGTTATGCATTTTAAAATTTAAAATGCGATTTGTCACAATACAAATTTGGGGTGTATTATAAAAAAATAAAAAATTAGAATACAATAACACAATTTACTTCTTCTTCTTCTTTTTTTTTTAACCTAATTTGTTTTGGTGCTTCTTGGAAATTCCTAACCATCACCTAGGTGTCCAAAAGAAAAGGAAAAAAAAGGAGGAATAAGAAAAGGAAAAGGAAGAGTAGAAACTATGGGGTCCTATAACGCTTAAGCCATTCTGGATTATGACCCAATCCAAATAACAGTGAAAAATCATCAAAAGTAAGAGCAGACACATGTGAAGGTGTTTGTTCAATTCCAAACAAAAAATAAATAAATAAAATAAAATAAAGAAGAAGATGTAAAAGGCAGAAAACAATGAAGGGTTTTTCATGTTTTGGCAAAGTAAGAGAGTGACAGTTCAGTTCCTACAAGCATCAATATCTGTTTTTATGGATATTTATTTCTTTGACCTGTCCTTTTATTGCACACTTTTTTGGAACAGTTGATTATTATTATTCCAAATGTTGGCCTATATATTTTGGGCTACTCTTTTTGGGTTCAGAATTCTTCCTTCTTTATCACATTGGACTTGTACAACAACATTCATTTGTTTATTTATTTATTTTTTGCTTGGCTGTTCTTTCTCTGAATTTCTTTGTCAATCTCAATCTACTAATTATATACATATATATATATATATGTATATATATATATCCATTCAACAGAATGTTAAGCTCATACTCAACAACTTCTAAGCTTTGAGGTTCTTCTGGGCTTATGTTAAAGGTACTTTTAAAGTTCTACTTCATTTATTTTATTGATGCGAATAGTTTTCACTGTTTTTACACTTCTGTATATTTTTTTCTCTGTGTCTAGCTTCTTCTGGTTGTTTCCCGAGAAAATTGAGGAATGAAGATCATTTTAGAAGCTTTTTGAGTCATGGGTCTGTTCTGTTATATTGAAAAGCTGTGAAATCTTAATTCATTCAAGTCAAAGTTAGTTTAATATGTATAACAACTATAAGGCAAAGAAAGGTGATTTTGTTTTTCAAAAAAAAAAAAAAAAGTTTATTGATAATATTAAAGGCTGAAAACTAAGTTTATGAAAACTAAGTTTATGAAGTCATGACGAAGAGAGATCAAGGGAAACAGTTCATCGCATAATTACTTGTGTTGGGAAAAAACACATCTCTGTACGCGTGTATGCGGAAAAAATAAATTAAAACAAAAATTTAAAAAAATAGAGAAAATAAAAATTTAAGTGGTTTAAAAATTTTCTTACAGAAGAGAATAAAATTCACTAATAATTTTAAAATTACATATTTAATAAATTTTTTCATTTTTTCTCTCTACCTAAAACTCTTTACATATTTTGTCAATCTCTTTCTTCACTTTTTTTGTTTCTCTCAAA